TTTGTTCTGTTGTTAAATTTCTTGTGCTCTTTATAGATTCTGGATGTTAATTTCTTATCAGTTGCATAGCTTGCAAACATTTTTCCCATTCTGTCAGCTGCCTCTTCAATTTGCTGAGTGTTTCTTTTGCAGTGCAGAAGCTTCTCAGATTGATGTAATCCCATTTGTCAATTTGGGCTTTGATATCCTGTGCTTCAGAGGTCTTTTCCAAGAAGGCTTTGCCTATGCCAATGTCTTGCAAAGTTTCCCTAATGTTCTCTAATGATTTGATGCTATCAGGGCATAGATTTAGGTCTTTGAACCATTTTGAATCAATTTTTGTGTGGGGTGTAAGGTAGAGATCTTGTTTCATTCTTAGGCAAGTGGAAATCCAGTTTTCCCAGGACCATTTGTTGAAGAGACTGTCCTTGGGATTGATTGTAGCTTCTTTGTCAAAGATAAGATAGTTATAGATGTTTGGATTGATTCCTGGAGTTTCTATTCTGTTCCATTGGTTTACAAGACTGTTTTTGTGCCAGTACCAGGCTGTTTTGATTATAAGTCCCCTTAATATGTCTTGAAATCACATATTATGATGCCTCTGACTTTGTTTTTTCTTTCTTATAAAATTGTTTGAGCTATTTGCGGTCTCTTGTGTTTCCATATGAATTTTATTATCATTTTTTCTAGATCTGAGAAGAATGTCATTTGTATTTTGATTGTGATTGTGTTGAATCTGTAAGTTGCTTTCAGTATATGGACATATTGATGATATTAATTTTTCCAGTCCATGAAGATGGAAGATTTCTGTCATCTTTTGTTTCTTTAATGTTTTATAATTTTCATCATAGAGATCTTCGATGTCCTTGGTTAAGATTATACCAAGATATTTAATTTTTTGCAGCTATTATGAATGAGACTGATCTTAGAAGTTCTTTTTCAGTTGTGGAATTGTCTGTGTATACAAAGGTTATTGATTACTGTGTGTTAATTTTATATCCTGCCACTTTACCAAATTATTTTATGAGTTCCAGTTGTCTCTTAGTGGAGAGCTTTGATCTACCTATATATAGAATCATGCCCCTTCAGCTACAGATTGTTTGACTTTCTCCTTTCCAATCTGTATCCATTTGATTTCTTTTTCTTGCCTAATGGCTCTGGCTAAAACTTCCAGGGCTGCATTGAATAGCAGTGGTGAGAGTGGGCATCCTTGTCTGGTTCTGTCTTAGTAGGAATGCTTCCAACTTTTCCTCATTCAATAAGATGCTGTTGGTGAGTTTGTCATAAATTGACGACTAGATTGGGTTGAGGAATGTTCCTTCTATACCCTATCTGATTAAGGTTTTCATCATTAAAGACGTGGTATTTTATCAAATGCTTTCTCTACAGCTATTGAGATAATTATATGGCTTTTGTTCTTCAATTTGTTAGTGTGTTGTATCACATTTACTGATTTGTGAATTTTGAACTATCCCTGCATACCAGGGATTAATCCCACTTGGTCCTGGTGAATGATCTTTCTGATGTGTTGCTGGATTCAATTAGCTAGTATTTTGTTGAGAATTTTTGCGTCTATGTTCATCAGGGATATTGGTCTATAGTTCTCTTCCTCTGTTGTGTATTTTTCAGGTTTAGATGATGCTGGTTTCATAGAAGGAGTCTGAGAGGATTTGCTCCCTTTCAATTGTTTTGAATAGCTTGAGAAGATTTGGAATTAGTTCTTCTATAAATATATTAGATAGAATTCAGCAGTGAAGACATCAGGTCCTGAGCTTTTCTTTGTTGGAGGATCTTTATTACTGATTTAATCTCTGTATTTGGTTATTAGTCTGTTAGGTTTTCTATGTCTTCATGAATCAGTTTGGGTAGATTGTATGTATTCAGGAATTGATCTATTTATTTTAGGCTTTCTAATTTGTTGGCATATAGCTCTTTGTAGTAATTCCTGATGATTCTCTTTATTTCTACACTATCTATTGTTACATTTCCTTTATCATCTCTGGTTTTATTGATTTGGATCTCCTTTTTTTGGTTACTTGGGCCAATGGTTTATTAATTTTGTTTATTTTTTGAAAAAATATTTGTTCATTTCAATGATCTTTTTTATTGGATTTTTGTTTTCAATTTTGCTTAATCTTCTCTAATTTTAATTATTTCTTTCCTCCTACAAATTTTGGTCTAGGTTTATTGATGCATTGATAGTTCATTTATGTGATACATTCCAAGTTCTGGATGCAGGCACCATTTGCTGTAAACTTTCCTCTTAACATTACTTTTGCTGTATCCTGTAAGTTTTGTTATGTTGTATCATCATTGTTGTCATTTGTTTCCATAAGTTTTTGGAATTGTCTTTTGATTTCTTCTATATCCCATGTATATTCAGGAGCATGTTTTCAGTCTCCATGTGTTTGCATATGTTCTGGAGACTCTTGAGTTGTTAATTTCAAGTTTCATTCCGTTGTGATTTGAAAAGATACATTGTATGATTTTTATTGTTTTGAATGTGCGGAGATTTGCTTTATGGCCTAGCATCTGGTCAATCCTAGAGAAAGTTCCATGCACTGAAGAAAAGAATGTATATTCTGCAACTTTGGCATGAAAGGTTATGTAAATATCAGTTAAGTCCATTCGTTCCACAATGTCGATGAGCTCTGTTGTTTCTTTGTTGCTTTTCTGTATAGTTATCCTTCCATTGATGAAAATGGGGTGTTGAAGTCCCCCATTACTATTGTATTGCAGTCTGTGTCTCCCTTTAGATTCATTAACATTTGTTTTAAATAGCCAGGTGCCCTGGCATTGTATGTATATACATTTATTATGGTCACATTTTCCTGTTGAATTGATTCCTTAATCATTACATAGTACTCTTCTTTGTACCCTTTAACAGTGTTTGTGTTAAGTCCATTTCGTCTGATATTTGCATGGCTACACCTGTTCTTTTCTGATTTCAGTTAACAGGGAATATTTTTTCCATCCTTTCATTTTCAGTCTGTGTGTGTCTTTGTTGGTGAGATGCGTTTCTTGTGAGCAGCAATTAGGTGTGTCTTGTTTTTCTAATTGATTTAGCCAGTCAGTATCCTTAACTGGAGAACTTAGGCCATTTACATTCAAGGTTAATATTGAAACATAATGACTTCGCCCTGCCACTTTTCCATAAATATTCCTGTTGTTTGCTTTGGATTTCCTGTGTACTTTTACTGGGCATTTTTCTGCCTTTACATTCTTTCAAATGGTGGCTAGCTTTCTATGTTTCTGTGTGTAGCACATTCTTAAGTATCTTTGTAAGGCTTTATGAGTGGTGACAAACTTGAATTTCTGCTTGTTATGGAAGGTCTTTATTGCCTTTTTTTTAAAAAAAGATTTATATATTTGAAGTCAGAGTTACACAGAAAAAGAAGAGACACACACACACAGAGAAAGAGAGATCTTCCATCCACTGGTTCACTTCCCAGTTGGCTGCAACAGTTGTAGCTATGCCGATCTGAAGCCAGGAGCCAGGGGCTTCTTCCAGGTCTCCCCCATGGGTGCAGGGACTCAAGTACTTGGGCCATCTTCCACTGCTTTCCCAGGCCACAGCAGAGCTATATCACCAATGTCATGGGTTACTGCAGTCTGATCCCACCTGACTCTTCAAAGCTGGTGTTCCCTTAGTCTCTCAGCTGCTGGGGTCATGTTTTGTGTCTGTGCTTGTGCTGTGCATCTGCAGTCTCCACACAGAGCCGTGGCCTCCCTCTCCTTCCCTAGAAGTTCCACTGCTGTTTTTTCTCTAATTTTTCCCTGACAATGCACTTCCTTCCTTTTTTTTTTTTTTCCTATATTCTCATAGCCTCTGGTACCCTACTTTTAGGGACTAAAAAGATATATGTATCATTGAAAACCTATTGTGAATAGTGACAAGATGAGTCAGCCATTTACATTTTTCTGATTTGACTTTTGACATCCCATCACTTTGCTGTTTTTTAAAATTAATTTTCTGGGACAGTGCCGTGGAATAGTAGGTTAAGCCTCTGCTTGCAGTGCCAGCATCCCGTATGGGTACCAGTTCATGCCCCAGCTGCTCCTCTTCCAATCTAGCTCTCTGCTAAATGTCTGGGAATGCAGTGAGAAATGGCTCAAGTGCTTTGACCCATGCACCCATGTGGGAGACCCAGAGGAAACTCCTGGCTCCTGGCTTTGGATCAGCCCAGCTCCGGCCGTTGCAGCTATCTGAGGAATGAACCAGCAGTTGGAAGACCGCTACACTTTCTCTACCCCTCTCTGTAACTCTGCCTCTCAAATAAATAAATAAAATCTTTAAAAAAATTATTCGTAAGTTTATTATCTATTCCTCTGCTAGTTTATCATCATGTTACTCATGAATCCAATGTGAGAACCTCACTGTAAGCTGAAATCTGTGCTAGGCATCAAGTGTACCAGTGTGTTTAGTGTATGTTCAGATATGAGTACCATGATGATTTTTTCTAATTCTATTTCTTGGGAAAATGTGTCAAAATTTCTATGTTCATATTCATGATCTTTCATTTCTCAGCATATACATCATATGTTTGTAAGAAAAGCATTACTCTTTTAGTGCTCTTTTATTGATTCCTCTCACTATTTATCAATATTGAGAAGCCAAACTCATCCTTCTAATAAGCAGTGGAATTCACATTTGAGTTCTTCTTGGTTACAAAGTGTATTCTCATTATATATGATCCTTGTATGTGTATGTGTGTGTGTGTATGTATAAAACCTGCCAACTTAATGGAAAAAATGTCTACAAAAGGGCAATGAATTATCAACCATATTAATTTTCATTGACTTCTCTTTGTTTTCTATGTTTTTTAAATTGTCCATAGTAAGCAAATATCAGATCTGTAATCTGGCAAAATGTATTGACAACTGACTTTGTTTACTCAGTTGTAACTTTTATGACATGTTCAGTGCCTGCTAATAGCCTTTATACCTGAGTACGTATGTATTAGATAAATATGTTATGTCGATTTGGTGTCTCATATTTTCTTTTGAAACATTTTTTTCAGTGTCCTGTATGGAAATAAAATTACGGAACTCCCTAAAAGTTTATTTGAAGGACTCTTTTCCTTACAGCTACTGTAAGTATTTGTTTTGGATCTGTTAAACTATTATATTCTGGTCAGTTTGCCATCTTCTATTTTCATAGAGATATCAAATAACTTTAACCCAGAATGATATACTTTAATGAATTGAAAAATAGTCTGGTGGAGCTGCCTTTGGTGATAGTTACTTACTTGAAGACACAACTCTTGGGAAAAGTCCCAACGTTTTTTTGTACTGTCAGGGATATATGGCTTCTGGTTGCAATCTCTGTTTCAAACCATCACTCAAGAGCTATTAAGGAAATATTAGGCATAGTGAACTAAATTGTGATAGAGCAAAGGGATATCAAAACATATCCTGCCTGGAGATAGCTACTCTTTCTTGGTGACAAAACTTTCTAGCGCTGAGTGCTAGCGTAAGGTATCCAGAAGAGGACTGATTCAGTTGCGTGGAGCTTCTGTTCTGGGGAAGGGTGTGGCTGTATTCCCAAGGGCAAGACCAGGAACAAAACCCAGACAGAGAGACGTGTAGCCTACAGCTGTATCTGCGGAAGTGTAACTTGTACCCCAGAGTCAGAGAATACTAATATAATACATGTGAAAAGAGAATTGTGTGGGATATTTTGTTGAAACAGGTATATATAATCAAGGAATAGAGACTAATGTAGTAATTTAACCTGCCATTCACCAGGAGGTTTAGAAAGTATTCCTGCAGGCCAGCGCCAAGGCTCACTAGGCTAATCCTCTACCTGCAGCGCCAGTACCGCGGGTTCTAGTCCCGGTCGGGGTGCCGGATTCTGTCCCGTTTGCTCCTCTTCCAGTCCAGCTCTCTGCTGTGGCCCGGGAGTGCAGTGGAGGATGGCCCAAGTGCTTGGCCCCTGTACCCGCATGGGAGACCAGGAGGAAGCACCTGGCTCCTGGCTGCGGATCGGCGCAGTGCGCCGGCTGCAGCAACCATTTGGGGTGGGGGTGAACCAACGGAAGGAAGACCTTTCTCTCTCTCTCACTGTCTAACTCTGCCTATCCAAAAAAAAAAAAAAAAAAAATATTCCTGCAAAATCACATGTCCATTGGGCACCTGTTATATACTAGGCAAAAAGGAAATATTAGAGAACAGAATAGAGCTTTGATATCCTGGGGGAAGGTGTCATGAAAACAATGATCAGTTAATAATGATTGAATTATGTGTATGAAGTAGAAAAATAAAGATATGCAGCAGAGCATAGAAGATTAAAGGTAATTGAGAGTACTGGAAGTTGAAAGGACAGACTACAGATATTAAAGTGAGTGGTCAGACAGGCTGGATAGAGGGGAGATTTTGGCAGAGCTGAGGGAGCTGGGTGAATAACAACAGCCAAACAGGTATCTAGGAGAACATTCCAGGAAGAGAATATGATACTGATATGTTTGAAAATGAGCAGACTTTCGTCACTGGGCTGACACAGCCAGGAGAGAGAACTAGAAGGCTGTAGAATTCAGAGAGTGGGTGATAGATCCTGTAGGCTCTAGGACTTGGGCTTTGACTCAGAGCCCAGCAGAAGCGATTGCTTCCAAAATGCCTCTCAGAGTGAAGTGACGTGATCTGATCAGTGTTTCGCAAGGATCACTCTAGCTGCGCCTCTGAGAAAACATGGCACTTCTTTTGTATAAAGTACTACAGGACCCAATGCTTTGAGATGTTTTTAGGGTATTTTTAACCAAGCTGAATCAAACACACCCCTGTCCACAATTCCATCTCTGTGCCTTCTAGAAAATATGTGCAATAAGTTCTGTTGAATAAATATAGAAGTGCTACTAGATTTAAGTTCATTTTACTCATAGCTCTGAGCTTTACCTGGTAAACCCCAAATCTCCAGACTGCAATATCTAAATAGTTAAAGTTATCATTTTCCTTTGAGATTTAAAAGTTTTATTTCTTGCTTGGCTTTTCTCAAGAAAGACAAAATCTTGCAGGTGAGTTAATGAGATGCTGCACTTTAATTCTGCAACTATTTGATCAAACAGATTATTGAATGCCAACAAGATAAACTGCCTTCGGGTAGATGCTTTTCAGGATCTCCACAACTTGAACCTTCTCTCCTTGTATGACAACAAGCTTCAGACCATCGCCAAGGGGACATTTTCTCCTCTCCGGGCCATTCAAACCATGTATGTATATATGATTTGGTTCAAATTGGATGAGTATTATTTTCACTCTGAATGTGAGAGTTGAGTCTCATTGCAAGTCGTGTACAAAATGGTTCTGTGTGTTTCTGAAAGGCATTTGGCCCAGAACCCCTTCATTTGTGACTGCCATCTGAAGTGGCTGGCGGATTATCTCCATACCAACCCCATTGAGACCAGTGGTGCCCGCTGCACCAGCCCCCGCCGTCTGGCGAACAAAAGAATCGGACAGATCAAAAGCAAGAAATTCCGTTGTTCAGGTAATTTCTTATTGCCTGTGACATTTCCCCTGTGACCAAAAACAGTGGCTATGTGAGAGCTACCAAAAGCAGCTGGCCTTGTACTGATTTTTCAACATTATAGAATCATAGTTTCCCTCTGCCCAGAAGGAAAGAGAATTGTAAACACCACTCATATAGCACTTTTATATGCAGTATTTTTAACATCATATCCAGAAGTTGAAATAGGCTATTGGCCAATTTAAAAAGATACCTGGATACTTCATACTATGTTCTAGGGTTCAAACTTAATAAGGGCCTTTTAGCCAATTCAGAATGCCCTTAAAGTATGTTATAAGTCTTGTGTTTGTTGTACTTTCTGTATGGACCAGCTTAAAGTAATCGGTCATGTTTTCATTGCTTCAGAAATTGAACTGAGATTTGTTTATGTGTTTTTCCTCAGACCCAATAAGGGGTTGGAGAGGGGGAACCTCCTGATGTCTTGCTTCTCATTCTGAGTGCACTTTTATTGGGCATTCTCTGGTTTTGAATAGGACTATGAGGGTACCTTATTTTTTTAGCCAAAAGGCCATCTTTTAACATTTTTGGAATATTACCTTTATTTATGAAAAACCAATACTTTATATTAATATTAACTAGAAAGTTTACATCAGTGAAAATTGTCATTGATCTAATATTTTCTATTTTCTTATGATAGAATACATTCTCTATATATTTGGTAGTATGCTATCTAACTGTCCCAGGCATAATTTACTTTCAGCAGTTAACTCATATAAAAAGCTGATATCAAAACCAAGCTGATTATTGTCTGTGAATATAGATGTATTTACTTCTCCCTGTACATTGCTGTACTCCAGCCACTGCTGTGAATAAACGTTTTTCATTAAGTTACCTGTAGTAACTTTAGTCCGTTCTTAATCTAATAGAACTCATATCTCTGCTTGCTGACATTCAGGTGCCTCTTCTATTTTTTTCTCTTTTTTTTTATTTAGCTAAAGAACAGTATTTCATTCCAGGTAGGTTTTGCTCGGTGGTAGGACTAACCGCAGAAACCCTTTCCTCACCTTGTAAAACATGGCTTCTAAAACTTGTTATGCATGCTTTGAAGTACCGTGGATACTCTATAGATAGATTGACTATGTATAGATCACTTGTAGCTGTTTCCTGAAAAGCTGACCTTTGCATGCAGCCTCTGATGTTAAACGTATATATTATTAAACTCCCACCTTTTCTTCTCTCCCTTTCAGTTTGGCACATTACTTACAATTTCTCACAGTAGCTAAAATGTTTGAACCTATGGCTCTCTACTTCAATCATTTTTTCCCTTACATTGTATATCTGATCTATCAACCTGTTTTTAAAATATAGCTTACTGAGCTGTTTTTAAAGACAGAGACCTTTCTGTTGTCAAAGAGCTAGCTCTACATGGAATCAGAGTTGCATTTCAAATCATGAGGCTTAATTTGTTTAAGTTTATTTTTTGCAGTTCTTTTGCTTCATTGTTTATTTAAAGCAGCAGCTTCCTACTGATTTGTGTGTACTTGTTTTTTATATTAGTGACTTTACATTATTGCCCATATCAGGAGTTTCTTTGTAACTCCACGAAAAGCAAATCGATGTCCATAATGAAGCCTTTTGAAGTTCGTGGGCACTAAATTCCTTGAATAATTCAGGCAGATGAATAAAATATTTCTAATACAAATAATTGCACTGTTTCATCACTTAACACTGTCATGACTGATGATTCTAGAGCTAGCTCTTTAAAATGTTTCGTTACTTAATTTCTCTTGCTTGCCAGTTGTGTAAAATGTTTCTTGACTTGTTTGTTTAAAGCCATTATATAAAAATGTTAAGTATTGATTGGCTAAATTTACCATCTCCTGGGTATATCTTGTACTGTATCATATTTTAGGAGTTCAAATAAGAATATATTCCTGCAGTGTTCGTGTGTGAAACCATACTTAGGTACTTAAGAAGACCTCTGGATATGGTCTCTATTTTAAAGAGATATTTATTGCTTGTCATTATTGAACTATAATTTTGATAATTTAGTTATAAATTTATCTAGTTATATTGCTTATTTTGACCTTGAGTGATGGATAATGTTTCATATGTTATATTAACTGAGTAACAATGGCATCCTGAAAAGCACACTCATTGGCTTTCATTGGGAATATTTGAAATACATTTCTAACCCAGCCATTAAGTGGAAAACTATCTGATGACATTTGCTTCTGAACAGCAGAGCCCCTGTTCACATAAAGAGCAAAACATGGATTTTCTTTAAGTACAGATGTTAACACAGTTAATGTAACTGTTACCAAATTACTCAAGCTATTTAAATATACTTCATTAGTAGTTCAGAAATTAATGTCTCCAGTTTGTAAAATAAAGACAAAAACCAGATTTTTTTTCGTAAATTCTAATAAGGTTTTCCACTCTATTGATAACCACTAAAATAGGTTTTAGAAAGTATCTTTAGGTAACACTATGTCTTAATTTTTAATTTCTTATTTGATTTGCATAATTTAAAATAATAACTGTAGAAGCTTGGACACAGAAGAATTCTTTGGTCTCCCATATGTACTTTTTTTTCAACATTCTAATTAAAACTTGAGCCTACCTAAAGAACCACCATAAAATAAACATTATTGTCATTACAGCACATGCAGATAATTTGAACTGGAAGATAAACCATGTATATGTGACTCACACTGTTACTCTTATTTCACTTTGAACTAAAGCATAAGCCAGAATAAAACTGATCCTCCTAAATACCATGGCATTAACTGCCAAGTATGATGAAACTATTATATTCAGCATTGCAAACTTCATGGGAGATTCTGATTTCATTTCCACTAAGTGACATTATTTATAAATTGGAAAGACCATTAAAAAGCTTGTATGCCACAACCTAGAGATTAATCCAAATGTGGTCATGATAGTCCTTGAGAGTCTCTGTGATTAGTTTCTCATTCACTTTTACATGTGTACTTGCCTACTACCATTCTATATGGCATTCTGAATATTGCAGTGATAACTCAAAAGAAAATCTGTCTTGCAGAGAGTTCATCTTTCAGAGAAATCGACAAGAACTTAATTTGTACCATGCATCTTTTATGCCGTTGCTTTTCTTGTAAGACCTCATGCCTCAAAAAATTATTATAAAATTTTGCAAAGCATGACAGTTCTCATCACACCATGCTGTCTTCCTATAATTGCATAGTAAAGAAAGAGAACTTAGTTTGATATATTTGTATATTAACCTTAATTGGGATTACTCTGTCTTTCTTCCCTTCTTGGGGATCTTTACTTTGCAGGAATTCACCATTTGGGCTGTAAGTAAAAGTGTCTGGTCTGAAACAAAAAATCCTCCCATTTCAATCCTGATGTACCTTCTTTTAGTCTTGGTCTTTGCGCCTTTTTAATCAAGAAGAAACCACAGATCTTTTGAGCTTCTCTGTTGTCCTTGTAGCTCACCTTCAACTTCCTCCTGGATGTTGTTCCCGAAAGCTGTTGTTTCCATCTGCAGTTCTGAGGAACGCTGGAGGCACCTTTCAGTATAGCCCCTTCTTTGTGTTTCCAGGAAATCTTCGGTAGTAATACTCTTACTATGGTCATAACCATTCTGCGGGAAGAATGCATGTCATGTAAACAGTATTACATTTCCAGAACGTCTGTAGCTTTTCTCCTACCTCCCTTCATTTTCCTCTTGGTCTTACCTTTGGCCTAGTGGTTGGTGTAGTGATAATGTAGCGAGATTTTCTGTTGTGCTTGATCTAACCATGTGGTTGCGAGGTATGAGTAAAACATGGTTCCGTCAAGCACCATGGAACGTCACGCAGCTTTCTACAGCATGACAAGCTGCTGAGGCTTAAATCAGGATTTACTTGTCTCTTTATAAAATCAAAATGAAAAAAGAGGGCTTTTTTAGGCATTTCTGCAGATTATGTGAGAGGGAGAGAATGATAAAAGTCCATATAAAATTTAAAAACCTGAGTATGATCTATCTGCCTCAAAAGCCCTAATTTGCCATGACAATACAGGAATGTGTCAATTTACTGGATACAGTTACGATTCTTGACTCAGAACCAAACAATTGATAGCCATTGTGTGATTAGCTGTGAACCAGGCTAGCATGGCTCAGAACTGGATCAGCAGAAAGTACGGCTGTGAAAAGCTCAACTTTGTTAATGTTTTCCTGTCGTGTGAATCTGGCCACTCTTTTTTTCCAGAAAATTCCAAGCCTTTCTTTTAACCCTCTCCTGACATCCATTGACCAAAATCCCCTAAGTTGTCTCCCTGCTGCATAATCTATAGTTATCTTACACTTTTCTTCCTATAAACTAATAAACATTCAAACCTTCAGACTCAGCCTCTGTTTTTGGCTTGAATCCTCAATAGGTACAGAAGATTACCGATCAAAATTAAGTGGAGACTGCTTTGCAGACTTGGCCTGCCCTGAAAAGTGCCGCTGTGAGGGGACCACAGTAGACTGCTCCAATCAAAAGCTCAACAAAATCCCAGACCACATCCCCCAGTACACTGCAGAGCTGTAAGTTCGTGCCCAGCAAAGCCCTGCTCCGGGGGAGGGACTGAAAGCAGGACAGCACAGGAATTTTGTGCTGCCACTTTTAACCTATGTATATTAATTAACACTTATTGCATTGGCCTAACTCTTCTTTGTACAGGGCAGTCCATATTACATGCCACCTTAGTTTATCATTTTATCCAAAGATACACTTGCAAGGTATTTAATTCACAACATGCAGCAAGAACTTAATGCTAATAATACTGGAGTTTACCTGATATTTATTTATTGGGCATTACAATATACCAAAACCCTTTTCTAAGCACTTAATAGATTTTAAACATATTCTTTTTTGAATGATTTATTTATTTTACTTACTTGAAAGGCAAAGTGACAGAGAGAGAGAGAGAGAAAGAGAGAGAGGCAGATAGACAGACACAGACCTTCCATCTAGTATTTTACTCTCCAAATGGCAGCAACAGCCAGGACTGTGTTAGGCCAAAGCCAGGTCCCAGGAACTTCCTCCAGGCTTCCCATATGGGTGGCAGGAACTCAAGTGCTTGATCCATCATGAGCTGTTTCCTAGGAACATTAGTGGGGCGTTGGATAGAAAGCTGAGTAGCCAGGACTTGATGTGAGATAGACATCACAATTGGTGGCTTAGCCCCCTGTGCCACATGTCCTCCCTGATTTTAACATATTTACTCCTTACAGTAACCAGATAAAGTAGATTTATGGTCACCATTTAGAATCTTATTCATTATTAATCTAATTAGGGAGTCTTTCTATCTTTACTTCTTCAGTGTCTCAGGTAGAAGGATTTGCGATCATCAATAATTAAAGTACAAAGGATAGCTTAGCAGGAAAAGTGAAAAAGACAGGGTGTGATCAGATTCATATTCACAATGTTAACATAGGACCTTGTGCATACAAGGTGCTAAAATGTCTACAGAATCATTTCTAGACTCTATGCCCATGTATGGGTTGCCTTTACTGACTTTATTTACAAAAGGAAGCTCTTTAAAGTTAGTGTTCAAAAAAATCAACAGAAAAACTAGGGGAACCTCAGCATTTCCTGAACATCGTAGCGATGTGTATGCGTGGCATCATCTGGTGTTTGTCAGTTCCTGCTTTGCAAAGTTGGTGTCTCTTTGTGCCAGTGTAACCCTCTGTCTCCACGGACATGGCAGCCCCTTGCTGATGAGGATTGTGTGCTGCAGTTTGTCTCCTACGATGCCTCTACTTATGCCTGGACCTTCGTGAATTTTAAGCAATTTCAATAACGAAAAAGTAATGACTTTAAAAGAATTAACAGAAACTACTTTGTACTTTTAAGTGATGCTTTTTTACTTTTGTTCATGAAGCTATTTGATAAGAGCTCCATAATTTTTGCATGGAGATCATGTAATAAAAATCCCAGACTATATTTTTATAGCCACAGAAGGCTTATTTTTATTTCTGATAATGCTACAAACAATAATAATATGTTCTCACATGGTATCACCTTAAATAAGCTTATTTACAATCAAGAATTATGGTTGGGACTAGCCTGCAGTTAACCTTCAGCTAGGGTTGTTATGTGTGTTTTAAAAAATAAGTACTTTTTAAAAATCACACAAATAAATATCAGCACTAGGAAGAAAACTTGCAAAGCATGTATCTGATAAAGGACTTGCATTTAGAATATTTGGAGAACTGTTACGTGTGAAAAAGTTATATTACCCGATTAAAAAGTGATCAGATTTCTGTATGGATATTTCTCCAAAGTAGATATACATGTATCTATTGGCCTATAAATATATGAAATAATATTTGCCATCACCAGTCATTAGGGAAATCTAAATCAAAGAAACAGTGAAAACCAATTCACACTCACTGATATGGCTATTAAAAACAAAACAAAAATGACAATAACAAATGAGAGAAATTAGAGCTCTCATACATTTTTGGTGTGAATGTAAAATGGTATGGCCCCTTTGGAAAACAGTTTGTCTACACCTTTTTTTTTCAACTTTTATTTAGTAAATATAAGTTTCCAAAGTACAACTTTTGGATTATAGTGGCTATTCCCCCCCATAACCTTCCTCCCACCTGCAATCATGCCATCTCCCACTCCCTCTCCCATCCCATTCTTCATCAGGATTCACTTTCAATTATCTTTATATACAGAAGATCAACTTAGTATATACTAAGTAAAGATTTCAACAGACTGCGCCCACACAGACACACAAAGTATAAAGTACTGTTTGAGTACTAGTTATACCGTTAATTCACATTGTACAACACATTAAGGACAGAGATCCTACAAGGGGAGTAAGTGCACAGTGACTCCCATTGTTGATTTAACAATTGACACTCTTATTTATGGCATCTGTAATCACCCAAGGCTCTTGTCATCTGCACCTCAAATTGAAAACAGTCATCCACACAAAAATGTGTGTGCCCCTGTTCACATTAGCATAATTTACAATTATCAAAAAGTGGAAGCAGCATAAATTCTACCAACTGATACGTGGACAAACAGAACTCAGTCCACTTGGTGGAATATGATTCAAAGACAACAAAGCAATGGAGTGTGCTGCCACACCAGTGACCTTTTAAAGCATTATACAAAGAGAAAAGAAACCAGACATAATATGCCACATTTTGTATGATTCCATTCATATGAAATATCTAAAATAGGAAAATCAAAATCAATACAGACAGAAAATAAATGTACAATTGCCAAGCCTGAGCTGACGGGGAAGCGAACCCTTGGTAGTGATTATGTGGTTTCTTTAGGGGAGGTGGAAACATCTTGGAATTAGATAACAGAAATCATTGCACTATTCCTGACTCTCCTAGAAACTGCAGGATTGTTTATTTTAAATGGGTGAGCATTATAGGACGTGAATTAGATGTAAATTCAACAAAGCTGTGTTTAAAAATTTTACAGAGCATGTGATGAGGAAAACATTTCTAATGCTTCTTAGGGTAGTAGTATAAAGTGTTGAAGAACCTTGTTCTAGAAATTACTAAATGAGAGCTGGTTTTGAGTATTGGTTTTCCATACTGTTTCCTAATATATTTTATGTTGATAATTAATATCTGAATAAAATGAGACAAATGTCAGCACTTTCTGTAAATCTTCTGTGATGTGTTTTATTTTATAGTTATCATTAAATAACATAAAATATATATTGATGTAGATGATAAATAAATCAGTGTGAGAAATGAAATTTAATTCCTTCCTCACTGTTGGTAATGAAAGTTTCCTGTTCTTTCTCTGCCTGCCTGCACCCCCCACCAGGCGTCTCAATAATAATGAATTCACAGTGTTGGAAGCTACAGGAATCTTTAAGAAACTGCCTCAATTACGAAAAATGTAAGTCGTTTTTCATCTACTTTTCAAATCTTTCTAGTATTTTGTTGTTGTCTGTCCTTTTATAGTTTAATTTAGGTTTCTTGGGATTTTAGAAAATAGAAAAACTCTATAGAAATTCCCATCTGACTCGCTGTGACATGAACCCAGGGCACTCTCTGAGAAGAGCTTATCTACAAGTTGTTTAAACAATGACAACTCCCATTTTCTGTAGCAGAGTCTGGATGTCTTCCTTTATCTCAGACAGCTGGTCTCTTATGTGGTCACAATAGGAATCCAGCCATCTAAGCACATTGAATTGGATTCAGTAATGTTTAGTAACTTCCTTTTCTATTCCCCAAATCATGCTGTTATTTCTCTTTCAGAGCCTTCATGTCAACTATGTGACTTTTGCTTCATTAAACTTTCATTAGAAGATAGTCAAAATTAATGTTTGGTAAACTAGCTTGATAGTGCATCTGTGTTACACGCCCACAGTTCATATTTTAAAAGAAGTTCATAAGCTCAGCAGTAGCATCAACACCCTGCCAAGTACTGCATATGCCTGAGAAGGAGCAGGGGAGAGTCAGAAGAGGGGACGGGAGTATCAGGCCAATGGAACACTCTCCACGTATGAGGCAAGGTCGGGGGAAGAGGGAGTCATTCTTCCAAGATAACTGTATTCATATATGTACCTGGCCCACAGTTACAAAGACTGTGAGTGGCAGCACACGTTGAATCCACTGTCTGTGCACTTGACCACTAAGACATGCTGCCTATCAAAGGATCTCTGAGGTCTGAGTTGCCTTATTTTTTTCCTAATGCTAAATGCTATAAGATGATTTTTAAGGCAACAACATTTATTGAACAGTTACTATGTATAATGCTCTCAGGGGAATAAAACTATATAGAGACATGATTATTGTTTGGGGGTCACTCCTGGGTTTGGAGTGAGCAGTGAGGAGGATGAAAGAGCCTGCAGTAAAAGGTGTTACCTCAACCGGGTACTCTTGTCTTCTGGGCAAGCATTTGGTATCATACATAATACTGAGAGTTCATATAGTTTTAACATATTAATACATGGGACTTTGAATTAGAATAAAGTCATTGCAGTTCATTTCCAGTGCACTCCAAATACCACAGGTGCATGTTTCAGTCAGTTGAGATACCCGGGTTCAATGCCTGGCTTTGTCCCCTGACTTCAGTTTCCTGCTAGTATAGGCTCGAGATGCAGAAGTGATGGGTCAAGTGGTTGGGTTCCTGCTGCTCATGTGGGAGACCAAGGTGAATTCTTGTATCCTGGCTTCAACCAGGCCCAGTATTAGCTGTTGTGGGCATTTAGAAAATGAATGAGCAGCAGGATTCAGTTTCTCTCACTGTCCCTCTTCCTTTCCCTCTCCTCCCAACCCTCCCTTCCTCTCAAGAAACAAATGGAAGGGAGAACATTTGTGCTACAGTAGATTGTGCCCCACTTGGGGTACCAACATACCATATTGGAGTTTGTGGGATTCAGACTCACCTCTGCTTCCTATTCAGCATCCTACTCAAGTACATCCTGGGAAGCAGCAGGTGATGGCTCGGGTACTGTTTCTTTGCTACCCACATGGGAAACTGTGATGGAGTTCTGGGCCCCTAATTCAGCCTTGCCCAGCTCCAGCTATTGTAGACATTTGGGGAGTGAACCAGTGGACAGATTCTCTCTCTCTCTCTCTCTCTCTCTCTCTCTCTCTCTCTCTCCCCCCTCCCCTCTCTCTCTCTCCCTCTCAAATAAATATGAATGTTTTAAAAGAAATAAAAAATAAAAATTAAATGCTAAAACATTTTAGTCCATTCTTTTCTCTTCCCAGCTGACTTCTTTAGTCATTAATTCATTAGACGAATTTTAATCAAGGACATTGCATTGGAAAGCATCATATTAAGTTTTGTGGAGGACATAAAGGTTTATGTAAGCCAATTCCTGACCGCAAGGATTTTATATTCTTGGGGACACCTGCAGTTCATTTTGATATGGATCAGGCTGTTATTTATGGAGTTTTTTTTTTAAAGATTGATTTATTTATTTGAGAGGCAGAATTACAGAGAGGCAGAGGAAGAGAAAGAGAGGTCTTTCATCTGCTGGTTCACTCCCCAGATGGCCGCAATAGCCGGAGCTGGGCAGATCCAAAGCCAGGAGCCAGGAGGGTCTTCCAGATCTCCCACGTAGGTGCATGGACCCAAGCACTTGGGCCATCTTCCACTGCTTTCCCAGACCATACCAGAGAGCTGGATCAGAAGAGGAGCCACTGGAACTAGAACTGGCACCCATATGGGATGCCAGCACTGGAGGCAGTGGCTTTACCCACTGTGCCACAGTGCCAGCCCTGGTTTGTTTGGATTTTACTATGGACACTCCTTAATAGTATTATTGTCTATTTGTTTTGAGAAAATAGGAAGGTGTTGTCCTTTCAGAGCCTGGGCAGTGCTGGGCAACCAAAAGCTTAGAGATAATGGACGACTTCAGTCAACAAAAAAATATGTTCAGTACCCTCAATGTTAAGAAAAAACTGTTTAAATATCCTTGTTTCAACAATTTTTATTTAGCAACTTCAGCAACAATAAGATCACAGATATCGAGGAGGGAGCCTTTGAAGGAGCTTCTGGTGTAAATGAAATACTTCTCACAAGTAATCGTCTGGAAAACGTCCAGCATAAGATGTTCAAGGGATTGGAAAGCCTCAAAACCCTGTAAGTATTCTTATTTTCGTTGCAGTTCTTCCACCAAAGGTTGTAGTTCATTGTTCATTATAACCCTGGTCGGGGAGGTGGGGGAAGAATATTTCCTACTTACTTCGTCTCTGTCTCTCCCTCCCTCTCCTGCTGTCTCTCTCTCTCTCTCTCTCTCTCTCTCTCTCTCTCTCTCTCTTTCTCTCTCTCTCTCACACACACACACACACACACACCGCAAACAGATTTTGTGAATGCCCACTTTCCCTTGCTGTAATTCCCATCTCCATGTGTTGTTAGCAAACGATCAGGAATGTCCTCCTGGTCACTGTCTCCCCAGCAGCACACACAATTGCTTGTGCAAATCTGGCTTCCCACTTCTGCCTCAGAACAGCCATCCTTTATCTTTTCTTCAAGCACCTCCATCCTATCCTCCCTCTTGACCCAAGATCTCAGTGCTCCAACATCTACTCCATGCTATGGCAAAGTAACAATCTGCTCATCTGGGACTCCCTTTGTCTGCCATACAAAGTTTCAACAAAGAAGAGGCACTGGCCAGTAGCCTGCTGTTACCATATCTCTCAAAAAAGGCATGCTAAGGGTCATGTCTACTTACTTAAGGGTAGGAGGGTTGGAAAACAGAGATCATAACTGTTTCCAAGAGGTTTTGGCCAAGGAAGGTGGGGATTAGATGGAATAGTCATCACAAACACTTTCACACTGCTTGAATTTTCTACAATGTGTATTTTTTATTTATTTTAAAATATACAATTACGTTTGACAAAAGTGGTAATCAAAATATTGGAATAGAGACAAACCAAACGGTCCTCTGGAAGTCGTGAAGGGAACTGTTTGTAACCAAGCGATACTGCTTGGCAGTTGCAGAGGGGCAAGGTCTGGTCTGCTTGTTTCCCCTAAACACTGAGAAGCACGTGCTGATGGCTGAAGGCATCTGTTGCACACTCTTTCTGACACGCTGTGTGAGAATGGAATGCCTCCAGCCTGGCATGTGTGTGAATAGCATCACAAGTTCAAATCCAACCAAGGAAACTCTGACCTAGGAGCACAACTTTGTAGCTGATAGCCTGAACCAAGCCACCCGGCAGGACCAGCCAGAGACTTGCAGACCTCTCCCAGGGGCTAACATGGAATCCCATCAATGAGATGTGTAAATATCTATTCAGCCCTTTAATGGGAGGGATGCCAAGGAGTACTGTATAGAAGAGGGCAGAAAAGATGTACCGTGGGTGACTGCATCTAGCCTTCCCCCCCAACCCCCCAACCAAGCTCTATCAGGAAACTCAGTCGCATACACATCCTGCAGTAAGCACAAGCCTCCCTTTTGAAGGTCAGCAGCTACTGGAACCTTGTCCCTTTCATGCGAGCAGAGGAGAAGGCTGTAACTGCACCTGTGTTAGTCTGCTGGGGCTGCTGTAAGGAGATACTGCAGACCATCTAGCTTAAATGACAGAAACCTGTTTCCTCACCATGCTGGGGGCCAGAAGTGTGAGGCCAGGGTGCTGCCTGGGTGGACTTGTGCTGAGTCCCGTCTTCCTGGTTTGCAGATGGCAGTCTTCTCACTGTGCTCACATGCCCTTTCCTCTGTGAGCTCATGCACAGACTCCAGGATCTCTCTAGTGTCTCTTCCTTTTCTTGTAAGGATGGAAGCCCCATCAGAATGGAGCCCACCTTGTGACCCCACTTAATCTTGATTGCCTCCCTTGATGCCCTCCCTCCAAACGCAGTGACACTGGGGGTTAGCGCTTCAGCGTGTGAATTTGGGGGAGACACAGCGTTCAATCCGTAACACTACCCTGGGAAGCTTATCAAAACACACATTTCTCCTTGCTAGTACATTCATGGGCTTTGCCCTAAGAATTCTCTATAATCAGCTTTCCCCATGTTTCCATGGATGTTTTTGTGCCACTTATGTTTTAGCACATGAGACAGGCATGCACTGGCTGTCTCCTTCATCCAGCTGTGCCACACAAGCGTCAGAGAGCAGTTCAGAGCCACACTTGGAAGATTCACAGTACCAGAGTAGGCGCATCTGGGCGTAGCTGTTCTTTCACATACTTTCAGCCTGGAGCTTGGAAGATTTTGACAGTAAATGCCTGGGCTTTCCTAAACTCAGCCGTTTAGAATTTGTAGGCTACATCATAGGATAGATAGATCGATAGATTTCTGCAAGTCTTTGAGGAAATCCCTGAAAATGCAGCTAAATTTGATGTGTGTGTGTGTGTGTGTGTTTCCTGCACCAGGGAACAAAGTTCTTCTCAGCTTCTCCCAGGGTTCCATGACTGCAAGATTAAGACCCAGCACTCTGTTACTTCTGGCAAAGGAGAGTCCTGATAGGAACACGTCTCTGTGGAGCATTTGTTTCCTAACATAAAACAATACCGTGATAAGAAAGGGATGATTATTTCTTCTTATCTGTGACTCAGCAGGATGCAAAAGCTCCTGTTTTTTACTTATTATAAGGCAAGCTAGAATTTTATTTTTGAAAGATTTATTGATATGTTTATTGGAAAGGCAGAGTTACAGAGAGGCAGAGGGAGAGAGAGAAAGAGAGAGAGGTCTTCCATCCACTGGTTCAGTCTCCAGATGGCTGCAATAGCCAGAGCTGCTCACCAGTCTGAAGCCAGGAGCCAGGAACTTCATCCAGGTCTCCCACGTGGGAGCAGGGGCCCAAGGACTCAGGCCATCTTCCACTGCTCTCCCAGGCCACAGCAGGACTTGAACCGGCACCCCATGCTGGCCCTGCAGGTGGCAGCCTCACCCACTACACCACAGCGCGGACCCCAAGCTAGAAATGTAAACATGATTGTTCATTTTCTTTTAGCTCTCTCTTTTATAGTCATTACTAGTAGGCCGGTCAAGCCATGTTTGGAAAATATAAATTAGGGAATTTTGTATAAGATTTATGGTAGCTATTCATTTGTACATGGGATTTTTGGAAGGTTTTTGTTCCACTTCTGAGTTCCACAAATACACAGTTCTCAACAAAGAGTTAAGAACTGGGCCAAAAGTTGAACAGTGATGATGACATGAGAACAGTGTGAATCCTTTTAGTGGCAATGACTTAAAAAACGGTCAGAATTTGTCCTAGGTAAACCTGTTTCACTGTCATGGTAGGCAACTGGAATTTGGGTCTGTTCCCTATTTTAAAATTCTAACTTAAAGCATTGAATTAATCTTCATAAATGAATTACTTTGGGCATGTGTCGTTCCCCCTCTTCATGGAGGAACGACACTAAGTCCTGCCTAGGCTTCATATCCGAGTCACGGCACCATTATGTTGCTCCCCCTCTTCGTGGAGGAACGACACAGGACCCTGCGCTGTTCTTTCGTCTGCTCGGCCCTCCCCGGGTTTGCTGCTGGTTCTTCCCGGGTTGGCTACTATCCCTTCCACCTCCGTGGAAGGGCAGTTCCCCCTAGCCACATTCCCCACTTCCGCAGGGGAGCGGCACACCACCGGCCGGCTCTCTCGGGGGCTGCACAGGTGTTCCCCTTAGATGTTCCCCATAGATGTTCCTGATGCATGCCGTCTCTCTCCTCCTTTATAGTCCTCCTCCGCCAATCCCAACTCGGCTGCCCACACGCCGAGTACGCTGCTCTCCTCCAATCAGGAGCAAGTCCTACAGTTTATTAGTTGAACTGGAGGCAGCTGTGCGGAAGCTGTTTACTTCTCTCCCAGCGCCATATTGTGGGAGAGCAGATGCATAGAATAAGTCTTAATTCCAGTAACTCAGTCCAGTCCGGATTGCTCCCCACAGGCATGTCTTGTGAATACTCTGTCAAAGTTGGCTCCCATTACTCAGTAGCTGAGTTCCCAGCAGGCACTCAGTTGCTGTTGATTCTTTGCTGCCTCCTTTCTGTTCGACTTCAAATGTCACAGGACCCTGACTGCACAAGTCACAGGGCTCCAAGGAGTCAGGAAGCTGTAGGTGAGCTAGGACATCATGTAATCATGAAATCACAATTCTAGCATCCAAGGAAAGCATTCTGCCCTCGTCGTGGGCTTGTAAATCCTTGCTGATGTTCATCGTGCCTTTTGTAACGGAGTTTTGATCATTGACAGTTCTATATTCTTCATTCTTACGGAATGTTCGCAGTATATATCCACAGCAATTCCTAATGACACGAGAACATTTAAAAAAAAGCAATGAGTTCTGTATATTTGCAAAGAGGGATTATTTTGATCCTCGAATAGGCAAAATTGATTGCTGGATGCTTTGTTTCCATAACAATATCCTCTTTTTTCTCTTAGGATGTTGAGAAGTAATCGAATAAGCTGTGTTGGGAATGACAGTTTTATAGGACTTGGTTCTGTGCGTTTGCTTTCTTTATATGATAATCAAATTACTACTATTGCACCAGGGGCATTTGATACCCTTCATTCTTTATCTACTCTGTAAGTATAAAAATAATAGTCTGTATTCATATGTTACTTAATCTAATACACTTTATTTGCAACTCTTATTAATAGTATTTTAATTCTGTATTGGGCATTTCATAAAAATGTGATTAGGGCTTTAAATATTTTCAAAAGGACAAATTTGTTCATGTTATATCTATTTTAACTTTTCTAGAAGTATTAACTACTATCATGAAATTTTAACAGAAAATATAATAATTTTTAGTCAGTTCTTTTTTATGGTAATGTGATCAATGATATATCTTAATTTATAAATTTTAAAATTATCATAACTTGGTAGTACCACAAATGAGAGAAATATTATGGATTGTTTTCCCCAGTGTTCTAACATTGGAGTCTTTTCAGTGTAAGTGTCATAAAAACAGAATTGATAGGGTTATTGCCCACAAACTATGCTCAGAAGGATCGTTCACAATGACAGGAGATACATTAGGATGACCAGACCAACAATAAAAGCTGTTCACTAGAGGGCATTTACCATGATATTAGGAAAATATTGAAGAAATAGATTGAGCCTGTCCAAGAAGATATTTTATGTAGACAGCTGGAAAACAAAGAATATTTGTAGGTCTATAGACAGAACTCAGTGTCTAAAAAAAAATTCCCAAAACAATGTATTTCAGGCCTCTCGCATGTCAGTATCTAAAAGGAAGGGTTGGAAATTATTAATCTTATAACTAATATGATTTTCTGGTGATGGTGGCATCCAGATATAGTAATCTAAGTCAGTAGCAGAGGAGTAACAATGGTTAGAAAGAATAAAAAGCAGTTTAACATAACTCGAGTCATTGAAGAAATAATATAAGGGAACCATCCACCCATCAGTAAAGTACTTAATCCTCTTTCCACATAAAATGTGACATTTTACATTGAGTGACTAATTTGTGCATATTAAAGATGGCATGTTTATAAATAATGGGATTGTCAATAGGTTTGTGCTGAAGTGGTAAGATGCCAAAAGTATTGAGATTTGTAGAAGTAAATTCATTTTTATAACTGGCATTTAATCAACTCAGCTGTCAGTTTAGATGGGAAACCTATTCTCTGGAGCAAATAAGAGATGGAAATTTTGAGATGACAAATTAATGAAATAGCTGTTGTCAGGTTAAACTCAATAATATAAGGTAATCAGCCTTCATCTTTATATTAAATTACTGCATTATCAGTGCAGGGAAGTTTGACAGCAAGTGAGATTTCTGACAAATTTATTTCTAAATGAAATATCTATCAGGATTCACTGCATAAGCCCTAAATTGCTGCCTTCATTTAATATTTGCATAAAATTTTTGCAATTCTCTTATGTGAAAGTGTTGCTATTGTTATTGCCTGGTTGCGAATGCAAATATTTTAGTGAAAAATGCATAACATGTGTTGCATGTAATTGAGTATGAGGATGAGGAAAGGAGTTCAAATAATAAATGGGGATCATTCTGACAGAAATGGTGTTTAAAAATGGTAGCCTGGCTTCTTGAGAAATAACACTGAATTACCCTGTGCTTGTTTGCATGTGACATTAGAAACCTCTTGGCCAATCCTTTTAACTGTAACTGCCACCTGGCTTGGCTGGGAGAGTGGCTCCGGAAAAAACGAATTGTCACAGGAAATCCTCGGTGCCAAAAGCCGTACTTCCTCAAAGAAATCCCCATCCAGGACGTGGCCATTCAGGACTTCACTTGTGATGATGGTGAGAGACACTTGCCGAATGCACGCTCCTCGGTCATTCACGTGACTGCTCTTTGTGTGCCAAATGCAATCGCACCATCCTGCAGTGATTGTGTGCGTTTTGTTTTGCTTCATTGTTTTCTTCGGCTTTGACATTGGACACTTGCTTTCTTAGACCGCCCTTTCACATTTGAGTCTACGTAATGTGTGTTTCTGAGTGTTTTAGATTTTCCTGTTTCCAACTTGTAATCAGTACTATTTATATAACTTTGTTTTAACTTTTCTTTATTTTCTAGATATCTCTTTTAGTAACCATCATTTTCAAATGAGAAAAGCAATTGACATAAAACAAACATTCTAGTAAATCTGACAAACACAATAGTTTTCACATTTTAATGTTCTCCCCATATCATTGCATTTGATTCTCCTAATAGCACTATCAAGTAGGTAGAGCAAGTTCAATTATTATTGCCAGTGAATGGAGAGCTAATTGAAGCTCTGTATTTTAAAATGAGGGGTCCATGCAAATTTTGATCAACATTTTACATTAATCTATCTCATTACACCTCTTTACACTATAGTTGTATTTATGTTTACCTCCTAATTAAAAATAAATTTTTGTAAGTAACTGAACAAATAAATATTGTGTTGGCAATACTAATTTTAAACTATTTTCTAGAATTCTACACCTAGCAGTCTGAAAACAGTGATATATAGAATGTCTGTTATTGATTTGTAAATACTTAACGCTGTCTAAATTAGTAATCATTTGGATGAAGACTCTTGCGTTTGTTAAATTAATCTAAAATCATAAAATCCCTTCTAGCACCCTCAAATCCACAAATATGGGTTCTTTTTATATTTCCTCTGGCACTTTAGGAAACGATGACAATAGTTGCTCCCCACTTTCTCGCTGTCCTACGGAGTGTACTTGTCTGGATACAGTAGTCCGATGTAGCAACAAGGGCCTGAAAGTCTTGCCGAAAGGTATTCCAAGGGATGTCACCGAGTTGTAAGTAGAGCTTATCTATCCCTTTCCTTGATAATTAATGCTTTACATCCCAAGGGGGAATGGAGATCGCACAAATAGCTCTAGAATTCTATTAGCAAATTTCATTGCACGGACACTTAATTAGTAGCATGTAAAATTGTAAGTAACACAAAACTTAGTTCAGAAAACTTTGGGAATTGCTGGTTTTATGTGTTTTCTTATTTTTTTCACCGTGGGATTTCTCAGTGCTCTATTATGCTAAGGTGCATAGTGCAGAGAGGATGATAAAATACAAGGTAGTCCCCCCATTTATTTGTACCTATCACCTTTTTCAACTGGAGTTATCTTGCGAGACTGATGCTTCATCTAATGCACTTTAGGAAATGCTATTTTTTAGTTCATTTATGGAGTCTAAAATATTCCATATAGTTCATTGTTCTTGACCTGCATGTTGATGTGGAAGAAACTTGCATATCCTGGACTTTAAAAAGAGATACATTCCCCTAGCTGTGTTCCGCTACAAATGCAGAATAGAATAAATCAGAGAATAAGCTGCAGAGTAATGATGCATGCATGCCTCATTCATCCCATTCCTTTATCTCTATGCTAATATACAGTGTACAAATGCTTGACAGGAACCCAATTGAGCCATTTTGCCTCTGTTTATTGTTTGTTTATATGGAGCTATGGATCAATAGTGATTTGAATCCAAGTATAATTCATGCAGATGCGTACTATAATTCATGCAAATGCATGCAAGTATTCCAAATGAGCAGCACTGACAAACTTTGGCAGTATATACCCACATAGGTAATGAAGTTCCAAAAGATGCCACTTCAGTGTCCATGCCACTTATTTTCAAAATATGTGCAGTTCTGTGAATCTTACTTTGGTCCTAAATGGAGCCATTGAAGAAAGAAGGCACAATCCTAGCAATTGTGCATAGAATCTCTCTCTCAGATTTGAACTGCTGTAAAGTGTGCAGTTTCTCACTACCAATCAGTGTATTTGTAAATGTTGTTTTATAGGTTCATGTATAAATACTTAATTGCTATTTAAGTATGTTTTCCTTCCAAAAGCTCATATGGGGCCCCATTCCTCCCCTGTTGGGAGGCTAGGAGACCATAGAGTGTCTGCATAGGGGTTTTTTTTTTTTTTTTTTTTTTTTTTTGACAGGCAGAGTGGACAGTGAGAGAGAGAAACAGAGAGAAAGGTCTTCCTTTACCGTTGGTTCACCCTCCAATGGCCGCCGCAGCCGGCGCGCTGCGGCCGGCGCACCGCGCTGATGCGATGGCAGGAGCCAGGTGCTTCTCCTGGTCTCCCATGGGGTGCAGGGCCCAAGGACTTGGGCCATCCTCCACTGCACTCCCTGGCCACAGCAGAGAGCTGGCCTGGAAGAGGGGCAACCGGGACAGAATCCAGTGCCCCGATATGGAGGAATATGCCAGTGAGGAGCCTACCGCTGAGGTCATCTTTATGCTAAATTTCCTCTGTGTTCATTGGCCCATTCCCACATCCTGCTTGAATTATATACTCTCTACCCCATCTACAAGTTTCTCCTGTCAAATAGTTGTGTCTTCTTTTTTTTGTTTTAACTTAAAAATTTATGTAAAGGAAACACGTTTCATGTATTTTGTATATACAGTTTTAAGGGAATAATAATACTTCCCACCTTACCCTCTTTCACTCCAAACCTCCCTCCTCTTCCTTTTCTTATGATTTTTTTAGAATTACATATATTCTATTTACTTTATCATCAAAAGCTTAACTCTCCGCTGAATAAAGAATTGAACAAGTGGTAAGCAGAAAAACCACTGTTTTGGTGTTGGTACTGTGGCAAGGTAGGCTAAACCTCTGCCTCTGGTGCCGGCATCCCATGTAGGTGCCTGTTTGTGTCCAGGCTGCTTCTCTTCTGATCCAGCCCTCTTCTAATGGCCTGGGGAAGGCAGTAAAAAATGGCTCACATGTATGGGCCCCTGCACCCACAGGGGAGACCCAGAAGAAGCTCCTGGCTGCTGGCTTTGGATCGACCCAGCTCTGGTCATTGCAGCCATTTGGGAAATAAAACAATGGATGGAAGACCTCTCTCTGTCTCCTCTCTCTCTCTCTCTGTAACTCTGTAACAAATAATTAAAACAGAAGAAAGAAAAATCACTGTCCCTCAAGAGTGTAGGCCACGGCTATAAACAATAATCAAATCTCAAAATGCCAATTTCACTCATATATTTTACATTTTTTGTACTCTGTATATTAGTTCCACAAATCAGGGAAAACATGATATTTGTCTTTTGGGGACTGGCTTATTTCTTTTTTTTAAGGATTTTATTTAATGAATACAAATTTCATATGTACAGCTTTTAGGGATATAGTGTTTTTTCCCTCCATTCCTGCCCTCCCACACAACTCCCATCCCACCTCCCACTCCCTCACCCATTTCATTTTCTATTAAGATTCATTCTTAATTGACTTTATATACAGAATACCAACTCTATACTAAGTAGAGATTTCAACTATTTGCACCCACACAGACACACAAAGTATAAAGTACAGTTTGAAGACAAGTTTTACCATTAATTTTCATAGTACACCTCATTAAAGACAGAGGTACAACATGGGGAGCAAGTGCAGTCAACAGCAATCCTGTTGTTGATTTAGCAACTGACACTCTTATTTATGACATCAGTGATCACCCGAGGCTCTTGATATGAGCTGCCAAGGCTATGGAAGCCTTTTGAGTCCACAGACTCCATAGGTTTTTATACAAGGCCATATGCAAAGTGGAAGTTCTCTCCTCCCTTCAGAGAAAAGTACATCCTTCTTTGATGGCCCCTTCTTTCCACTGGGGTCTCACTCACAGAGATCTTTAATGCAGAACCGTTTTTGCCACTATGTCTTGGCTTTCCATGCCTGAAATGCTCTCATGGTATTTTCAGTCAGGCCTTAGGGGCTGATTCTGAGGTCAAAGTGCTGTTTAGGGCGTATCTCATTCAATGAGTCTGCTGTGTGGACTGCTTCCTGGGTTGGAACCTTCTCTCCTTTGTAATTCTACCTATTGTTATTACCAGGCACTTGGTCTTATTTATGTGGTCCCTTTGACTTATGGTCCTATCTATATGATCAGTTCCATACTTAATATGATCACTTTATCACTTAAGATGGGATTAGTGCCACCTAGCTAAATAGGATTTGGCATCCCGTGGCAAGTTTTTAGCTTCACCCTGAGGGATAAGTCTGTGGGACCAGCTTATTTCAGTAAGCATAATGGTCTCCAGTTGCATCCATTTTCTTGTGAAAGGATTTCAATTTTTTTTTTTACAACTGAATAGTATTCCATCAAGTACATACCACAATATGTTTATCCAGTCATCAGATGATAGATATCTGGGTTGATTTCATATTTTATCTATTGTGAGCTGAGCTGCTATAAACATAACAATATAGATAATTTTCATAGATAGTTGCATTTTCAACCTGTTTCACTATAAGTCATTGACAAGTAGTATTTTTTCCTAATAAAGTGTGTGCTATAAAGATGAAGAAAATATTGACTTATCTCTTGTATAGTTGAATTTTACCTGCCAAAGAGGTTATTCTTAGAACCTTGCCAAGTCAGCAGGATCTTTCTCACCTGTAATATATATGCATGTTTGAGAAAAAAAATCGTATGTGTATTCTTTTATTAAAGAATTTCACAAAAATAACTGTGTACATGGTGGACAAGGTTAAACAAATGGCATCTATTATTTTCAATCTGTTCCATATATCCCCCCTTAGAATTATTTTATATATAAACAGCGTATGTTCTGAATTTTTATGGCCTTCTACCGTGAAGTTTCCTAGGATAAAGGGAAAGTTCTGCAGTAGATGGAATAATGCTTCCCTCTAGTGGTAAGAAGAAAACTTAGCCAGAGGAATGAAGGAGAAGAGGAATATGAATTTGTAACATATGCCTGAGTCTCAATCAAATATTTATTATACATTTTGATCTTATATGCCTTTTATATAACTTTTCACTTTGATACGTTGTAAAGGGATTATTATCTTAGGCAACTTCTTATCTATTCCTGTATATTCAGAAAAATACCAATGTCAAGCTGGAATCCCGAGCTTGGCCACAACACTGGCCAAGTGGGAAGGTCCACATGTCCAACATGACAGAGCTGGTTGCAGGCACATGTATAGCGAGATGGCTGGGGTTGCTAAAAGACATTTTTACTCTAACAGCTATAGTCTTGGGAAGAACAGCCTTGGAGGGAAAGGAAATTTATTTCATTTTGTGACATCATAAGTATAACCTAAAGCATTCATTTATTTTTTACATCTTGCCAGTTGATCCAAAGCCTGTTTATTTTCTAGTTATTCTTCAAATTCCAATAAGAAAGGAAATTTTTACAAGTGGTCATTTGATTATTTTTTTTGCAAATATATATTTGCTACATTTGTGTCCTGGAGAAATATTGTGATATTCCATGAAACTTCCTAAAATTATTACCAAATAGATATAAAAATTATTTTAAAATATTTTTAACATAAACCTAGTTATGTTGCAATCCCCATGTGTCTCCTTAAAGGGTCCTTTGTTTTTGCCAAGTGTGTTGATGCACACCAAGGCAGTGAAGATTGGTCTTGGCTACAACAGCAAGATTTTGTTACCAGTTAACCAATTTCATGGCATTGTCTTCACATAAACACAAGCAAACAAGACTGACTGGAAATATTGTTTAATGAAGAAACCTTCTTGTTGATACACTAATGACAAATGATGGCCTTACTTTCTTACATAAACCATGAAGAATTGGCCTCACCCTTCTTTCCTTGGTTTTATAATTTAGCCTAAGTGGCCCATGGAGCATTCTTCTAGATCAGATCACTTTGCTTTTCTCTTTACTTCTCTTAAGTAACAATCCCAGCTAGGAGCATGCCATTTTAAAGCAACAATTGCCAAGTGGTTCTATGCTTCAGTTAAAAGTGAAATATCATTTTTCACTTATTTTATTATATACCATTGTTACTTTATTGTAAGATAATATTTTTTTGTTTTTAGATATCTGGATGGGAACCAATTTACTCTGCTTCCCAAGGAACTCTCCAACTACAAACATTTAACACTTATGTGAGTAACATTTAAGAGTTTGCAATCTGACTTAATCTATTTCATGAAAATGGGGGTGGAAAGGGGTGGATATTAGTCAGCCTTTGAGATAATATAAATCATTTAGAGTTAGGTGCCGTGTCCATACTCCTTGCTGTTCTGGGTCAATGGTTCAATCTTCACTGAATGTCAATCAGGAGGTGCAGTGTCTTAGGAGATAGTTCTCCTGTATTCTAAGTGGCATGAATACAATAACTTAGAAGTAGCCAGTGAATTACAGAAACACAGTAAAACTACATATTTCTGTTGGTAACAAAATGGGCAATTTTATGATAAACTGTGGAAAGAAAGATTGAAAACAATACCTTTATTCTTGAGTTTAAGCACATGGTTCTAGGTGTAAATAAATTTACTGGATGTATCTTATGACTTTAATTTATTAAGTTTGAATTTCTCATAGCAAGCATTTTAAGCAAGGAATGAGCTTCTAATATTAAAATTCACCTTATAAAGTTCATAAATATTTATATCCTATTTAGGTAAATGACATAGATACTGACATTCTGAGTATGTTTTAGAATATTGATAATTTGTTTGATATGACATCCTCCTAAAATAGCATCTCCTTTTTCATTAATATAAACAATTTTGACCATCTATAAGATACAAGCATTAGATCTAGTGTATGTCCAATATATAAACATAGATAAACCTTGTTGCATGTAATACCACATTTTTGAAGTAACATTGGTGATTGATAAAGTTTTGGGGAATACTAAAATATTGGCAAACAGATCATAGATGTTAATGGAATATACCTTATAATTAGTTCAAAGTTATCTGATTTTAGAGTAAATATAGGTAGAATAGGTACAAGATTGTTAGTGTTCCTTGAATTCGAAGGTATATAGCTAATTAGTGAATTCTAGAAACCTAAGTAGCAGAAAATGTTATATATCTAAAATGAGCTTTATCTGGGTACATTGAAGCTATTCAAAATGCAGTTGATCATCTTCAGATTTTCTGAAAAATATGAAAAATCTCAAACACCTCTATTCAAACTGCTAATGATTAAATAAATTAATGAAAAGCTATCTTCAGAGATGCCTTATTCAGCTGCTATTTATTTGATAGCAGTAAGAACTGATTAAATACATTTATTCTGTTAAATAAACCATTAAATTATGTCAATTTCCAAAGGTTCACTCTAGTAGAATCCCATTTGCTGCAGTATGTGATTATTTTAAATCAGCTAGAAGTGGAAAGTAAGAATTTGTGAATCCACAAACGGTTTTACCAGTCACTATCATACAAATCTTGCAAGTAACTTGTAATACACACACGTTTAGTTCTTCAGTAACTACAAAGAGAGATTATAAAACTGATGCAAGCCTCCCAGAATTTTCACAATTTTACATTGTGTTTTACTGATATGTTGACATTTTAATAGAGGAATGGATAAACCGGAGCTTTGCCGAATCTTCCATTTATTCATGTGTTCTGCTTCACAAAAATAGTAACTATATATGGTGGTTTTATATATAGTTAATGTACATATTGGTTCATAGCAGCTCCATCTCTTTCTCTTCTCTTTCAGAGACCTAAGTAACAACAGAATAAGCACCCTTTCAAATCAGAGCTTCAGCAACATGACCCAGCTCCTGACTCTGTGAGTGTGGGAGTGTGGGATGAGGGTCTGTTAGTTGTGGGACAAGATGCATTTTCTAGATGCTGCACAGAGATCTTGGGGAACAAAGCAGAGTCTCTGCCATCACAGAACATAATTATCTTTGGAAGAAACAAATAAAGCCTCAGTAAACAAACATTTGCAAATATTACAGAAAATATTGAATTCTACAACAGAAACAACGATTAATTGACATTTTTGGTGGAATTAGTGTATAGGATTCTAGGGAAAGACATCTCAGAGAGGAACTGTTTGAGGCACCAATGCTGGCAACATAGGCAGAGGAAGATGCTCTAGGTTATATTTAGGAAATAAATGTGTTGTATTAAAAATCCAATACAAAGAATTTTTAAAATTGTATGTATGTGCAAATATTCTTAATTTGCAAGATGCTCAAATAACACTTTCCTGAAATGTTTTATTTTAAAAATGACATTTGGACATTTTTGGATTCCAGAATTAAACAAATTGGCATTTGTATGCTTTCAGAATTCTTAGTTATAACCGTCTGAGATGTATTCCTCCTCGAACCTTCGATGGATTGAAGTCTCTTCGACTGCTGTAAGCATCTTATGTTCTGCTAACCACATCTTTTCTTGGGGATCAGAGCACTGGGTTTGTCTCCTGAAAGGTTTCACTGCTTTCTCGAATTCTGGCTATTGTAGCATATGTGCATTGATATTTATTACACACTTGGAAATAGGAAAATTGTATCATTTTGTCTCACGCTTTCATTTGGACATTAAGACTTTCTCTTTTGCAATATTTATTGTCATAGTCATTTAGTTGAGCATATATAACATTAAACATGTGTTTTATCTAGTTCTAGTTAATTTTTAAAGAAAAGGGGTAAAATTCCATTTATTTAGAAACTGCAGCCGGCGCCTCGGCTCAATAGGCTAATCCTCCACCTAGCGGCACCAGCACACCAGGTTCTAGTTCCGGTCGGGGCACTGGATTCTGTCTCAGCTCTCTGCTGTGGCCAGGGAAGGCAGTGGAGGATGGCCCAAGTGCTTGGGCCCTGCACCCCATGGGAGACCAGGAGAAGCACCTGGCTCCTGGCTTCAGATCAGCGCAGCGCGCCAGCCGTAGCGGCCATTGGAGGGTGAACCAACGGCAAAAGGAAGACTTTTCTCTCTCTCTCTCTCTCTCACTCTCTCTCTCACTGTCCACTCTGCCTGTCAAAAAAAAAAAAAAAAGAAAGAAACTGCATACTACATGAATATATTTAACCATAAAAATGTACATTAAGGGATAGGAAATAAAACATGATTCTCAATTCCAAGCCATTTCTCTAGAACTAAGAGTTCAAACAATTTAATGTGCTTCTCTGGTCTGTTTTGTCTGTTTTTACATGCATTTGTTTTTATATCCTAATATATGTATGCATTTTCCTGTTAAAAGCCATAAATAGGCTCTTTTCTTGGCTATTTTTATTTAATATATGTTTTAGAATCTTTCCATTGTATGTAGGTATTACTCAGCTGCTTAACTGCTACTGAGTAGTCCGTAGGTAAAAGGAACCGTACCGCATTTAATCGCTGTCATCTTTATTGCCATCTGGCTTACCTACAAATTTCATTATCCTATACAGTACTTTAATTAGCATCATGTACATTTATTTTAGTCCAAATATACTAGCATTTCAGCACCGATTTCGAGTAGAATGTTAGAGTCAAGTATAGTGGGAGAATACCAAAAATGCCATTCAAATTGTTCCCCAAACAAGGTTTTATAAATTTAAAAATTTTATTTTTCTACCAACTGTTTAGTTGAGCATCTTTTTCAAAGTTCTCTTGAAAACATTGAATAACATTAATATTTTTATTTTTGTCCATATAACAGATTTAAATACTTTCCATGTTTTAATTTTCATTTCCAAGTGTGGCAAGCTTGAATATACTTTGTTGATTGAACATTTGTGATTCTTATTCTAATGAGCCTGATCATATAATTTTCCCATTTTCTACTAAGTAATCTGTCCTGTCTTTATTAAAGTAGATGTCTTTATGCGTCTACTGCTTGACTATGGGTGTGCAGGTCTTTTCATAAAGAAGTCAATCCTTGTATCTTATATGTGTTGCAAACACTTCTCTTTCTATTCTTATGTGGAATCTTTCATATGGATATATTTGATGTTGTCAAAAATGTATCATTCTTCCCAATTATAGTTTCTGGGTTTTTCCACTGCTCTTTTGAGAGTATTCCACACTCAATGTGTATAAACAGGAACTCTTCTGTATCTTAATTTTAAAAATTTTATTTTTACATTTAACTCTGCAATCTGAAATTTATTTTATGCATATTATGTGAGGGAGGAACTGATGTTTGCTTTCCAAAACAGATATTTAGTTGTCCCACAATTATTAAGTAAACTGTCTTTTTATGATGAAATAAATAACATTTAATTTTTCCTTTTCTTGCTTTTAGTTCTCTACACGGAAATGACATTTCTGTTGTGCCTGAAGGTGCCTTCAATGATCTTTCTGCACTATCACACCTGTGAGTACTTCCTTCGTGCACGTGGGTTTAGGCTCAGACTCTCTTGTGAGTGATCTGGGAACTGTCCTCTGCCACTTCTTCTCTAATATTGTTGAGGTGATTGCTTCGTCGTTAAAGAAAATGTAAAGGTTTTCAGTCTGGATGGGATGCATTCTACGGGATAGCTTCTGTTTGCCCTTCCTGCTCTTCCTCCCATTGACAGAGTGGCTCCCAGCTGCACTAGCCTGTAGCTTTTTTCTCACTGCTCTGAACCTCGAGTATCTGCTCCTCTTCTTTATGTCTGTCTCAAATCTGCTTTGCCAAGTCACATACCAAGCATTGCATCCCCCACCAGGACTATCCTGATTTTCTCAAACTAGACTTGTTTATTTAAGAAATACTGCTCCTCTTCAACTGTGATACCATGCAAAAATGAATGAGACCTAGTTCATGACAGGGTACCCTGGTAGTCAGAAGCAGCCAAGTCCTCATATTGGATGAAATGGTTTTCATTATATTTTTTTTTTCCCTTAGCAGCCTATTGCTACCTCCATATTTCCTGGAACTACAATAAAATGATGTTTTAAATAATTGGGGTCCATGATTACTAGGTATCATGTTAAGACCGTGACAACCTATGAAGAAGTTTAGGGAGCAGCCCAAGACCCAAAGCAATACTGAGTTTGGTGCCACCTGCTGTCAGTTATTGGCTTCAGCCTAACTATCAGTGTGTTATGGGTACTGGTTCCCCACAAGAGGTTACATTCTTTCCTGGCTTTACACACCTCTTTAAAACTCATAAACTCCAAAAGATAAGAAGCATATAAAAAGTTTATAAAATTGAGAAGAAAGAATGGAGAAGAGGGTACAATTGTTTCACGTGCTACATCTGAATTTGCCTTGTGAGATTGTTATCTGTGTGTGCTGATCTCTCAGACTCTGCCACCTACTACTAGATTTCTTGCACTCAACCGCTAGGTTCTGGGAAGCAAGCTGTCCATTTTTCACCTGTGAGCTGCAGCACCTATTTCAAAGTTGACATCAGGGCCACTCCTTTATGGATTCCACAGCGGCCATTCAATGAGACACCTTATGAAGGAAGCCCCTGGAGCAGGGGTGCAGGCAGCCTTGCTGTCTAGCAGAGAGTGCAGCCTAAAGGAGGAAGTGGCCTTGCTGGTGTGAGGTCATGAATCAGAAGGGGCAGCACCGTGCCTGGGTGCTGCTTGAACTGAACAGAACTTTGCTGTGTGTGACCACCGGCCACTAAAGTTAGAAGCAATTTGAATATTTGTCAGTGTCCTGTTCCGCTTTGCTTTGTATTTGTGTATTTTTGTTTTATTCCATAGACCGTAGAAGGCTCCACTTCATTCTGTTTTTCTACTTCCTCTCTCATCACAAAAACGACTTAGCAAATGTCAGTAAAGATAGGATCAAATGACTCAAAATCACCATTTTTCTCACTTTTAATTTAGAAAGGTTTGAATCAGACATACTTATGGACATAAAATGCACTGCATTCCAGTTCTTGGTTAAGTTGAGCATTAAAGCTGATTTAATAAAAAGTATTATGATTTTACAAGCATGTTTTGGGGGTTGCCTAAAAAATACTAACCATGTATAGACCATAGAGTCATAAGTTGTTTATAAATCAGAAAATTAATCAGATTTTAAGTGCTACTTTATGTATCTATGAACTATACCCAAATTTGGCAAATTTAGGTTCTTGGTTGACTTCTCCAGTCTGTTAATTTCTTATTTTTTTATTTCATTTGAATAGGAGAGAAAGAGAGACAGCTCCCCACCCACTGATTCTCTCCCCAAATGCCAGCACCAGCTTCATCTGGGCCAGGCCAAAACCCGGATTTGTGAGCCCAATCTAGATATCCCACGTGGGTGGCAGGAGCCCTATTACTTGAGCCATCCCCACTCCTCCCAGGATCCGCCTTAGCAGGAGCTAGAGTCAGAAGCCAGGGCCAGGTATTGAAGCAATGAATTCTAATGCACGCTCCAGGCCTTTTAACCAGCATCTTAAACGCTGGGCTAAGTGCTTAGTCCTGGGATCAGTTCCTTGATCTATACAGTGGGTTATTAATAATAATGATATTATAGGGTTATGTTTTGGGATAAGGTGAAGGAATTTGTGTAAATTTAGGATGCTCTTATCCCACTCCCTGCAAATAAGGAGCACTTTTAAAAGTTCAAGGCAAAGTCAGAATGAAAAGTTAAGTTTTGGGATCCGTGTTGTGATGGCGCAGATTAAACCTCAACCTGCGACACCAGCATACCATGTCAGAGCAGTGGTTCAAGTCTTGGCTGCTCTGCTCCCTGCTGATATGCCTGGGAAAGCAATAGAAGGCTGAAGCACTTGGGCCCATGCCACCCATGGGGGAAACCCAAATGGAGTTCCTGGCTCCAGGCATTGCCTGTCCCAGACCTGGCTGTGACAGCTGTTTGGGGAGTGAATTAATTGTAATTCATTCTCTCTCTCCCTGTCCCTCTTCCTCTCTCTCTCCTCGCACCTATCTATGTCCTTCCCTCCCACCCTCCCTAGCTCTATCACTCTGCCTTTCAAATAAGTGAAAAAAAAATCTTTTTAAAAATGGCAAGTTTCTTTTGGTATGAAAAAATTCAAATCTGTACACATAAGGAGTGTTCAAAACGTTCATGAAAATGCGTATTATTAAAACACTATGCATCACTTCAAATTGTTGCATCAAAACAAATGTACCTTTTCATTTCATTTATCCAGAAATATTTTGAAGAGTGTTTGTAGTAATGGTGCAGTAAATGTTAGCTATTACTTGCTGGCACTACTACCACTTATGGAAACACAAACCAAGGTTAAGATATGAAAAACTTTATAAAGGACAGATATCCAGTGATGATCCACATCTGCTCTGAAGAATAGCACTGTGCATCTTCATTATTTCATGCCATTTCTTCTTTTTTTTACCATTTTCTTTTTTTAAACTTTTATTTAATAAATATAAATTTCCAAAGTACAACCTTTGGATTATAGCAGTTCTTCCCCCCATAACCACCCTCCCACGCGCAAACCATCCTATCTCCTCTTCCCTCTCCCATCCCATTCTTCATTAAGATTCATTTCTAATTATCTTTATATACAGAAGATCTACTTACTATGTACTAAGATTTCAACAGACTGCACCCACACAGACACACGAAGTATAAAGTACTGTATGAATACTAGATTTACCGTTAATTCGTGTAGTACAGCACATTGAGGACAGCTGTGCCTCTGAACTTACTGCCCCCTCACCTGAAACATGATCCCCTTCCTTTCCCCTCCACTTAACTCTTCAGCACCCTCTTCCGGAAAACTTAGTCAGTTTGTTCACAGTCATAAAGATGTCAACTGTAGCACTTCTAAAGACATTTTTGTATATTTGAACTTGTTCATCTCTGCAGGAGGAATTCTTTGGAGTGGAGAATACTGAGTTATTCATAGTTGGGTCCTAAGATTGTTTCATAGTGATTACATTCTCCTTAACTAATTGACAAATGAAGAATGCACGTAGGTTGCACGAACACCTAATAGAAACCCATCTCTGCAAAATAAAGCACAGATGGGTGTCAGCCCCAATGATACCTCACCAGATCCCAGCGGCACATAATTTAGGAGAATAGGGGAGTCTCCAGTATCTGCATTTTCTTCTGAACTGTTACCATGGAAAAGTCCATAGGGATTTTCTTCTGAGGATCACCTTGAATTCTGTTCCCTTAGGAAATAACAATACTTCCATACTTGTGTGTATGTGTGCTTTTGTGGTGTTGTTTTTCCAGAGCGATTGGAGCCAATCCTCTTTACTGTGATTGTAACATGCAGTGGTTGTCCGACTGGGTGAAGTCGGAATATAAGGAACCCGGAATTGCTCGCTGTGCTGGTCCTGGAGAAATGGCAGATAAACTGTTACTCACAACTCCCTCCAAAAAATTTACGTGTCAAGGTACGGTTTATTAATCATTTGCACTTTTTAAATGAAATCTTTTTACTAATTAAAAGAAGAAAAAGCAAGCACCTTGCCATTAGACTTCAGAGGTCGAGTGTAACAGCCAGTAGACTTTTTCCACCCATGCTTAGACAAGACAGAGCAGCCTCCTGAAGTGCCTAAGTAAAAAGCTGTGCTTTTCCAATAAATCTCAGAATTGCCCATTGCAAGTGACTGTCACTGAAAATTTCTTGAAAATGAAGGGCAAAATACACAATTTCTGGAGATTCTTTTCATAGCCTCTAACAAGTAAAATATTTTGCTTTTGCCTTGTCTGAACATGCGCCCTGCTGCTAAGAGCTGCCAGGGCCCTGTGGCTTCCTAAGGCCAGGTAAGGAGAGACGGGCTCCCCAGTGTTCAGGCCAAACCTTCTGATTCTCCTCTCTTGCTGCAGACATCCTGTGTGGGTTGATGTTCCTCTTCCCTGCTCGTTTGTAGCCCTGCCTTTTCCCTCTGTTTTATGGCATTGTGAATCCTAAATGACGTCATCATAATATTATTCTCTTATTTTACTATAAGCTTAATACATACCCAATATGGAAAATCTAAAGAGAAAAGAGTAAGCAATAAGAAACATCTTATTTCTGTAAAAAGAAATGAGTTAGTGATTAATTACAATACCTACAGATAACCACTGTTAAACTTGTCTTGTGTAGTTTTCCAGTTTTGTAAATGAAGTATATGGATTTTTGTTCCTTCCAAAAATAAGAGGGATAATTACTATTTTTTTTTTTTTTTTGAGAGACAGAGAAGGCTGCCACCTGCTGATTTACTTCTCAAATGCTTGAAACAGCCAGGACTCGGCCATAACAAAAGCTGGGGGCTGGGAACTCAATCCAGGCCTCTCAGACTGCAGCCCTGTTATGTGGGCTATCACTGCTGCCCCTCAGGTGCCACATTAGCAGGAATGCTGAGGTCAGGAGCTGGACCAACAATATTCTGAGATTGTAAATCTTTTTTTTATTATTTGACAGGTAGAGTCATAGACAGTGAGACAGACAGAGAGAAAGGTCTTCCTTCCATTGGTTCACTCCTCAAGTGGCCGCTACGGCCGGCACTGTGCTGATCCAAAGCCAGGAGCCAGGTGCTTCCTCCTGGTCTCCCTCGCAGATGCAAGGGCCCAAGCACTTGGGCCATCTTCCACTATCCTCCCGGGCCACGGCAGAGAGCGGGACTGGAAGAGGAGCAACCAGGACTAGAACCGGGGCCCATATGGGATGCCAGTGCCTCAGGCGGAGGATTAACCAAGTGAGCCACGGCGCCAGCCCCATGAGATTGTAAATCTTTTAAGAGGGCCTTGCAGAAATACTAGATCAAGGAGAGAAATTTTTCAAGCTTCTAAATGTATAACCAGCAAATGTGGAATAAAGGTGATATGTGTGAGACTAAATTCTAGATATCATGGACCATAGAGAAGTGTACAGCACAGGCTTACTTTGCAAGACTGCAAGCCTAGACAAAAAGATAAGGTTTCAATGTTTATGAGGAAGAATACACTGAAATAGGTATTTTGTGCAGTGGATCTCTGCACAAGTTCTAGAGTCCAGAACCTACTTGGGGCTAAACCCCAGCCTCATTTTTCAGTAGCTGAGTATTCTTTCTTTAATCACTTAGCCACTCTATACCTCGGTGTCTTCATGTGGAAGGAGACATGACAGTCCCAGACTGAGTCCTGTTAATGTTAAAGGTATTAATGTGTAGCAAACATGCTGCCTCGAACATAATAACCACTCAGTATAGGATAACTGCTTCAAGGTATTATCCATCTTCAGAACACCAAAGAGTGACATAGGATACTCCATGATTTGATAAAAGAAGGAACTGTCAAAAACTATATAAACATTTTAGGTTGATATCCCATGTGTTTTTTTAAATATTTATTTTATTTATTTGAAAGAGTTACAGAGAGAGGTAGAGACAGAGAGAGAGGTCTTCCATCCGCTGGTTCACTCCCCAGATGCCCGCAATGGCTGGAGCTGTGCCGATCCGAAGCCAGGAACCAGGAGCTTTTTCTGGGTCCCCACGTGGGTGCAGGGGCCCAAGGACTTGGGCCATCTTCTACTGCTTTCCCAGGCCATAGCAGAGAGCTGGATTGGATGAGGAGCAGCCGGGACTAGAACCGGCGCCATATGGGATGCCGGCGCTTCAGGCCAGGGCTTTAACCTGCTATGCCACAGCACCGGCCCCCCAATGTGTTTTTCATAGCTGTAAATGGTTATAGCACATTGTAAACATTGACATTAATTTTAAAGGTTTATTTGAAAGGCATACAGAACAAGAGGGAGGGGGGAGGGGAGGGAGGAGAAAGAGGGGGAGAAGAAAAGAGAAAGAGGGAGAGAATAGCTTCTATCTACTCCCCAGGTGCCACAACAGCCAGAGGTGGATCAGTCCAAAGTCAGGAGCCAGAAATTCCATCCAGGTCTCCCATGTGGGTGGCAGGAGCCCAGATACTTATCATCTGCTGTCATCTCCCAGGCAATTAGCAGGAAGCTGGATTGGAAGCAGAGGCAGGACGAAGTCCTAGCATAGCAGTCTGTTATGGGATGCAGGTATCCCAAGCAGCAGCTTAAGTTGCTGTAACACAATACCCATTCCAACATTGATAGTTTAAAACAAAACTTCTATCTCTCTTTTAAATGTGCATAGACTTCAAAAAGTTCATAGAAAATGGAATTAAATAATATTTATCTGTTGCAAAAGTGTTTGAAATCCATGTGTAGTTTTTCCATAATACACATTTTTAATGAACTATTTGAACTCTCATATTTGCTGGAATTTTAATACCATAGCTGACTTAAAAGAAACAAAAGCATATCCTTTGTACATTCTTCTGTTCCCTTGAAGCTCTGTTTTTTTCCTAAAATACCTATGACTATTACCTCAAAGAATTATATCATTCTTTGCTACAAAAGAATGCATATATAATTGGAATTTTTAAAATTTTCATCCACCAGAAGCCTTTAAATGTTTTTATAAAACTTTTCTCTGAATTTAATCATTGCCATTTATACTAGTCCATCATTAGATGAAACAGCATAATTATTTATCAATATTTTCATATTTTTACTAAAAATTGGAAGTGCAGTTTTATTGACATAGCTTTCTGGGATTATGTACATCAATTGTTAGAACCTTTGAAAATAATAGGCATTTTAAATTATTTTGTAATTCTAAGTGTTTCCTTGGGGCAGTGCCCAGTGATAAATTGGCTAAGAGGTATATCATGCTGTTATAAAGTAGAGAAGAAACACATGTCGAAGAGGAAGTAGGAGCGCTGACAATGACAGAAAATCTTGTGTTTAGGTATGCTGTTAGGCTTACATGAGGAAGTTGAGAAATTGCAAGCTGATTGTTTTGCACCTCTCTGTGCCCAGGGACCCTTGTACTTCATATTGAAAAATAAGAGTGTTTATCCGTATTTCTCAAAGTTTACAATCCCCTCATGGTATTTCTTTTCTTTTGAGATATTTCTTGAAAAACAATTTCATAACAAATTTGAAAACAGCTATGTACACTTAAGCTCTACTCTTAATGGCTTGTATTCACTTATTAAATGTTCTCAAAGCTAATACCTAACACATACATACATATACAGGTTTATGTTACTCATACACATCTGATTGGTCCATTTTTAAAATCTCATGACCATACATAGTATCTTATGTACTTTATGTAGCGTACATGGAAACATACTTGACAAAAATGGTCCTTATCATAACTGATCAATACTACTTTCTGTAGTGATAGGATTGTTCTGTTTCCGCTCTTTCCAATATTATAGCAAGTAGCCATTTGTGGTTACTGGATACTTCAAATTGTGGCAAATTTGATTAAAGAAATTTATTTAATTTTATTTCATGTAAACATAAATATTCACATGTGGCTAGTGACTACTGTGTTAGATTTTTTTTTCATGACTGCAACAAAATACCTGAGGCACGCTGATTTTGCAAATAAAAGAGCTTCGTATTGGCTCACAATTTTGAAAGTTCACAGTTCAAAATCAGGTTCTGCTATTGGTTCAGCCTCTAATAATAGTGTTTTTGCTGGTAGAGCCCCAAGGTTGTGTACACCATTAAAACCAAGGACAGGGAGCATGTGTGTCAACAATATCTGTCTCTATCGTACTCCATTTAAGTCCACCAGGGTTTACTAATCACCCAATCCAATCTAATCACTTCCCAAATGCCCTACCTTCAAACACTGTTATTTGATTAAGTGTCCACCCTCTTAGTCTGGCACCTTAGACTGCTTGGCCATCCTGACACACACATTTCCACCCTCTTAGTGTCATTAACATGAGACCTTCAGGCCTGGACTGCAAGAGTTCCAGACCAAGTCATACTCAAACCATAGCAGCTAACATATTGGGTGGTATAGTTGCTACAAAGTCCCAGATAAAGAAATCATATTAGAAGAGGGTGTTTGTGAATGTGAGTGTGCTTAAGCTATCTATTCAAACAAGTAGACAGTTGTGGAGATACTGGCCAATTGTAGGCAGAACTATAGGAAAAGAGCTGTGCTATGGAAGAATGCTGTTCCCACTCCAGGGATGCTAATAAACAATTGAGCTGAAACCTGCTAATTGACAGATAATGGAAGTTGCTAGACCTGTGAGCTCAATTTCAGCCATTTAGTTGAACACAAGTACATAATTTCAAATTACAGAAGATGGATATTCTTTATTTTGACATGTTTACACAGCTATCTTTAAATACAATTTAAATATTTTTTCTTCTAGAAAAAAAGCTATGTATTACTTAGAGTAACTAAGTTTTTCAACAAGTACAAAGTAGGAAAAATATGTTATTGCAAAATTTAAAGGAAGAAAGAAAGAAAGAAGGGGGGATTGAGGAAGAGAGGGATGGACGTATGATTATCTTCTTGCAATTGCGCCTATAAAATCTGTTCTCTGTGTTAATAAAACTTTTTTTTTTTTGGACAGGCAGAGTTAGTGA